TGGTTAAAATCAAGTAGATCTATAAACACATGAAAATCTTGAAAATGGATGGTGAAGATAATATGTTGTAAAATGTATTATTTTTTAGACTTAAAATCTTTTTACTTTTCATGGTTATACATCTCAATGTTGATAAGATCAATCAAAGGGTTTTTCAACATTAAAACACCTTTTTCGATGGATTTTTGAGGTGCATTCATAGTTCTACATATAAGGTTGCAACCTTATATAAACTTTTTCCAATAAAAAATATTTACTTTTGTGCAAAGATATGCACACGCTAAAGAAAGGAGAGAAACATGGAATGAGATAGATAATGATATCGATAATGGCAAAATGCTAGAGGCCTTACCAATTTGGGGTAGCAACGGATCGACCCATGAGATCCAAAAATTGGACTCAACCCCGTACCCATCAGGCTCTGGGTCTACCTGTCAGGTCCCGAGTATGGTCGGATCCATTGTCACCCTATAACTATGAACTTCTTCTTCTTCTTTTTTTCATTTTTTTTATAATCATATATCCATATTATTAGCAACAAGGTCACAATCATGTGCTATTAGATTTCAAGCCCTCTAATTTGTTGTTTAATAGCTAAAGATGACTACGAGTTCTTATTGTATATGGTCCTTAATACACCCAAACAAATAGGGCTTAAAGTAAAATATTTTATTTCCAACAATTTACAATTACGAGTCGGTCTAGCTGGACCCAGACCCGAATAGTATTCGGGTTTAAGTTTTGGACCCAGTCCCAAATAATGCTCGGGTCTAGCTTTTGGACCCGGACCTGACCCGTCGGGTCCAAAACTTGGATCCATACCCGGAACTAAGGTCGGGTCTACTCATCGGGTCCTAGGTCTGGTTGGGTCCATTGCCATACCTAATACCAACGCCCTTAAAATTTAGGGGAATAAATTAGAGTTCCCAAACTTATATACCCTATTTAGAAAATGTTAAAAATAAGGCTTAGGTTTTATGCAAAACAACCAAAGCCTCACCTCAAAACTTGATGGGAATTGTAGTTTCATAATTGAAAAACCTCACCTCCAACCTCTGGACCTTGACCATTATAGTTAAGAAAAAAAAAAAGATTTCAAACCCCAAAAATAATGTATATTGTAATATATTATCTAAACTGTCCATTTTCAAATATTCAGAGATTTACAAGATCTACATCATTTTCTGAGTTACAAATTTCAAAATTGGTGATGAAACTTGGTTCAAGAGCTATCAAAGAGATTTCCTTATTCCTTGGACGAGGTTTCAAGCTGAGGCTTTGCTTTTTTTCTGTAAGGCCTAGGCTACTGCATCCATTATGTTTTTTTTCTTTCTTCAATTGGTTTAGAGCGATGACCATTTCATTAAGAAGAACAAGCCAATGATTAATGCAACATAATGTGTATTATTTTACAAGGGCTGACTGACTTCCGGTGCAATTGTTTGTTCAGTTAGAAGTCGTCAAGTCAATAAGAAGAAGCCCCACCACCACGACTGACCTACCTCCTCTTCATCATTTATCATCAAATATCAAGTGTATTTTGTAGCATTTTTAATTTATGAGAAAAATAACTATTTATTGAGTCCATTTTAATGATAAATATCAAATCAAGGCCTTTGACTGCATGCAACATGTGGGGCTAACCACACCCATCTTAATTTTCTCAAACAAAATAAACTTGTTGCATATTTTTACTAGAAACAAATTACAAGAATTCAACCCATGGTTTATTGGTTTAGAGTTCACACAAACTTGTCTTCTTTGATATTTGAATCAACTCACCCTTAATATAAGCTAACTAAAATCGGGAATTTCTTACATCGGGATATTTGATTTATTTATGGGATTATCTACAAAATGCGGTTTGTATAGAGCCGAGGCTCTAAACAATCAAATTAGAGCCCACCTTCAATTAGTGTCGGGAAATGTGGTTTCAATACAATAAATCTTTGACTAGCTTTAAAATATATTTTCATCTTTAATTATGAAATTTAAAGCTTAAAAAATAGTGTAGATTGAGTAAATCTATGAAAACTTAAATAACTTAAAAATTGACGGTCCAAAACTACGTTACAAAATGCACTATTTTCAAAACTTGAAATCCATTTTCCCCTCAAGTCCATGCATCTTGATGTCGAGATGATCAATTTGAGGATATTGGGGTATCAAAACAACCTTTTCTAATGAATGTTTTGAGGTAGGCTCTAATTGATTGTTTAGAGCTTAGGCTCTATATAAACTTTTCCCTTTATCTTTTGACCTATGAGGTAAGGTGCACCTCAAAACTATGCCCAAGATGTATGTTTGGTGCCACAAACCCTTGCGATGATGTAAAAATCTATTGTTGCCTTTAATTACGAAATTTGAAGTTCAAGAAATGGTGAAGATCGAGTAAATCTATAAACACTTGAAAATCTTGAAAATAGGTGGTTCTGATAATGTGTTAAAAAATGAATTATTTTTATGATTAAAAATCCTTTTTTTTTTTTTTCGTGCCAATGAATCTTGAAGTCGAAATAATTAATTTGAGAGTTTGGAAAATCAAAGCAACATTCTCTAGTGGGGTTTTAAATTGCACCTACTCGTCGAGTATAAGATTGACAATTTATGTAAACGTTTTCCTTTATTTAATAGTAAAAGATAAAAAAAAAGAGAAAAAAAAAGGTTTATCCACGATTGCTTGAAAATAAAAAATGAAAAAAAATACTAAAAACTGGTTAAATTTTTTCTTCCCTTGTAAGTTAAGGGAGATGCGACAGGTGAGCGTGACCGGAACATGGATCCATAAATTGAATTCGCAGGAGGGTAGATTCGAGAAATGATTGTTCTATATACGCGAAATGATTGTCCATTGGAGAAATAGACCGTAAGCTTCTGATGGAGCATACTGCTTATTTACTCCCTTGAGCAAAATCCAAACAAGTCGTCTAATTTGTGAAGGGGTGATATCTAAGTGTTAGAAAACTCAAAAATCATCTTTATTTTATTTTTTATTATGATCGTGATTGTGAAGTAGCTCTTAAAATTTTGGATTAAAAAAAAAAAAATATTCCCATATAATTCTTTCGCCAAAGCAATAATTATACAATGTGTTCTTATGGGAGCATAATATATGCACTGATATATATGTGGTATAAGTTGACCTGGTAGCTGAAATCTGATGCCCGGTAACTAAGAACAAGAGTAGTGATGCATAATTGTTACTTGGAAAGTGTTTATATGATAATAAGCATAATGAGGATATTTATTAGTGGAGTCCACATGATATACTCATCTCTCTACTGACCATGCTGTAAAGTCGACAAGAGAGAGAAAGTGATCCACATATTCTATCTCCAACGCCGTCAAATCCCCCTCTCTTTACTCTCTCTCATCCCCTTCTCTCTCTTTTCTTCTTCGGATGGCTCAATAACACTCGAGCATGGGAGGCAATGGACCTGGACTCGATTCGGGACTTATAAATAGTTAAAAATAAAATATTTTATTTTAAGTCTGGTTAGTTTGGTGCATCGAAAACCATATATAATTATATGGTTTTAAATTTAATAGCGGGTGAGATTGTGGTTTTTTTATATCAATAATATCGATATAATAATAAATAAATAAAAATAATAATTTTAAAAAAAAATTTGCTCATAAGTAATAACGGAGCTGAGACCAAATAAATATAGATATAGGTCTAATTTTTGGACCCGATTGATTGGGTCCTGGTCCAAAACGCGGTCCGAATCTATTTAAATGTGTGTCCATGTCGAGCCGGACGGGACCCTGACCCCTAGACTCAAGCACCAACCACAAAGTGGCTCTCTCTCCCTCTCTACTCGTCTACGTGAGTGTGATAGCTACTACTAACTGGTGGCCTCTACCTTGATACATAGTTTCTTCTCTCTCTAGATTTGTATGGGTTGGTGGCTGCACAAAGTTTCTCGCTCTAGACTGTATTCCAAAAAGTGAGACAGGCCGCCCCCTTTCTCTCTCGACCTTTCCTTTCCGAACCGAAGAAAAGACGGAGACGGAGACGGAGACGGAGACGGAGAAGCAAAGCAGGACCGACAAATGGAGGCCGTGATGCCCATTTACTCTCGCTCCTCCTAGAGAGAGAGAAAGGGGGGGCCATGGCGGGGTCATTTCATCCGTCTTCTGCAACAGCAAACGGGCACCCAGGAGTGAGAACCACTTCCTCCTCCTCCTCCTCGGCCTCTCTCAAGGGTTGCTGCTGCTGCCTTTTTTTCCTCCTCATCTTGCTCGGCCTAGTGGTGGTGGCGGTGTGCCTTGTAATTATACTGGCCGTTCGCCCCAAAAAGCCACAGTTTGAGCTCCAAGCCGTCCAGGTCCAGTACCTCTTGGTGGAGCCGCCGCCCCAATCCCCTTCTTCTCCTACCTCTCCATCTCTCTCATCGTCTTCCCCGGTGTTTCTCTCTCTAAATATCTCCATGTTTTTCACTGCTCTGAACCCCAATAGGGTTGGGATTAAGTATGGGCCGTCCAAGCTGGACGTGATGTACAAGGGGGTGCCTCTCGGGGTGGCCAGCGTGCCGTCGTTCTACCAGCCCGCCCACAGCACCACGCTGGTCACCACCACAGTCACCGTCCGAAGGGCTAACATTTTGCAGGCGGCTGCCCTCGATCTCGAGCAGGATGCTACCGTCAACGACCGCGTCGAGCTGCTGCTCACTGGGGATGTTGCCGCCCAGGTCCGCCTCCTCCAGATCAACTCCCCACAAGTCAAGGTAACTTATTCTTCCTGTGAAATGTAATGGCAACCCTAGCCTGGATCTTAAGCTTTGGCGAATTTAATCCGTTAGCAAATGCTGTATATTTTTGTTGGGCAACTGAATTTTTGGAATGACCTCACTTTCCTCTTTTAACCAGGCTATTAATATATGTGGCGTAACCTTCTTCCTTTGTTGCCTGTCACAATCCTGTTACTACCTCTTCTTTGTTTTGGCTGCCAAAAAAAGGAAAAAAAAAAACTCTAAAAATATTCTAAGTCCTTATCCCTCGTCTTTTCCCTCAATTTCCCCTGTTCTTTTCGTGAGTTTCGTTTTTTTATTCATGTTTTTTTAAAAAAAAAAATTCTTCTTTTTCGTTTGAGTTGGCCCCAGTGAATTTCACTTCTGCATTGTAATCAACTAGAACTTGCTCTTTTTGAAATGTCAAGAACTTCCCTTTTTTGTCTTAGATGGTGAGATGTGTGCATACCTATGATGGCAAATGCGTCCATATCCCTGAGAATCAGGTGATTGGATCGATTCGAATCAGGTCTGAGAATGTTGCATTACTGTCAATCTGTAATTTGTTTGCGCATTGTTGTCAATCTCAAGTGGTTATGCACCACTTCCAATATATTTTGATTTCCTCTTGGTCTTTTCTTTAGAAGTCCCTCTATGCAGTAACCATAGAGTAATTAGTCATTCTTACAGTTGGGAAAATTGTCAGAAATTTCTCCCCATTCATTAACAAAACTAGGAGAGTGGCATGTCCATTAGGTCATTGAATTTGTTTGAGGAGCATCTCATTGTCAGCTCATAGAACTTCCTTTCTTGTTTTGAGGGTGAGTTATTAAGGTGGCTTTGAAGCTTAGAATAACTTGCGCCATGGTGGGAACTTTCTCAGGAGTTCAATTCGTCTAAGAGGGGCCATTGTTTAGCAACGTGTTTCTTGACCATTGCCCAGATTGGATACATTTACAGTGATCTTACTTGCCTAAACTCACCCACAATCTTTCAGTCATTGTAGTGTCAATGTTTTGGGAAAATCTTATACTCTCCACGAGTTAGGGTTCAATACTCAGACTGGCCATCCACTGTCAGTACCTATCAATGGACGGTGGAGATGAGCCACTGTCCTGAGTCAAGGTTCCTGTTTTCAGCAAAACGCAAGTCATCCATGCCATCCATAGATAGTACAAATGGTGGATGCCCAATTTAGGTACCCCAAATTTTGCTCTAAGAGGGTATATAGTTTATCCTCCCCTTGGTGTGCCCTCCAGCGAAAAGAGCACATTGAAAACAAAGCAAAGTCTGACTTTTCACCTTAGTGTTTCAAATTCCTAGAACGGATACACTTCTACATGCCAGTTTTGTTTCATTTAGTCTTTCTGTTGATTATGTTTGCTGTTACAGTAGCACTTTTAGGGGATTGGATGTGTTCCTTCTATGACTGGCGAACTCGAGTTTATCAGATTGTGCATTGACATTTTCTGTGTATGATCGGTTTGATGCACACTTTTAGTGTGGTTTTGCTATGGCATGCAAGCTTCACCAGTTCCACAACTATTCTTTTCTAGTACTGTATCAACTGTGTGTGTATTTTTACTTCTATAGTCTTTTTCTGCTCTGCACTTCTGGATATTTTGTTGGATCACTGGTTTCTACAACCTTGTGGGTACTTCCCTATCCTATCATATAGATCTTGCAGATAAAGATACACCTTTCGATTGGATGGTCCATATTATTCCTAAGAAGAACAAGCACACCACCTCTTGACCGTTCGTTGTGTGATATAGGCAGCTTCTACATGATCAGGTCATTGCAAAGTAACAAACGCAAAGAAAATGTTTTAGTTCATGAGATGTAATAACACATTTCTCCTGTACTAATTTTTTATATGATTTGTTTTCTAAGTACTGCTTTTTGCACCCATGGAAATGGTGAAAATAGACTCTAGAGCATGCTGGGATTCTTGTTTAGTTTTTTAATACCCTTATTAATCAATTGGTCTTGTTAATATACTAAAAATTCCATTTGTATGCTCTGTCTTCCCTGCCGTTCAGGTGTATGTAGACTGTGCTATTGTAATTAGTCCCCGGAAGCAATCATTGACGTACAAGCAGTGTGGCGTCAATGGTCTTAATGTCTGAATCAGCTCTCTCTAATGGAGCCCACCCATCCATGAAATCTTAACAACATACCAATTGAAGTCTCCAAGTCAGGACCAAGTGAAGGTCGAGGATCGAAAGGCAAAGTTATCACAATCACGGACCCACATTGCTTGGGGGCAAGTTATGGAAGAATCGGGTGTGCGCTCTCAACTTATCCTGCGCAATGCGCCGGAATTGTCTTATAGAGATTGTTTCTTTATGTAGGATGTGTGTATTTAGAGGGCCATTTTTACTATATTTTTCTGGTTCCTCTACATTGAAGTTAAAGAAAGTTTTGCTTACCTGCAGTTTAGTTCAATGCTGTTATTTTCGTCTCAAAAGTTTTGGTCCTCTTTGTGAGCTTGTTGCAGCAGCTGCTAAAAAAAAATGCAGTTTGTTTATCATGTAGAAGGTGATTTGGAATCATTTAATTTGCTATTTTTGCAACGAGAAATCATCCTTTTACTGGCTATTTATTTGTATGTGGAAATTAAATTAGAATGATTTGTTTCAAACCTGCAAAGAAGGCTTTGCATTACTTCTCTAACATGCTTCAAATCTTCCTCATATTATGGGAGAAATAGCTCAGTTTAAAAATATTTTACATGATTCAATACAAATTTGTTAATGGCATTGTGCAACCGCCTTTAAAACTGTCCAATTCTAAAGAAAATGTTACAAAACTATTGCTTCTTGTTAGGGCTACCAATGGTCCGGGCTGTGCATTAGGCTCATGGGGGGAGCGACATTTCAGGCCATTTTTGGGCTTTGGCTGGGCCCAGTGCGGGTCAGCAGAGAATACACTCTTATCAGACTGGGCCGGGCCTTTAACGGGCAGGCCAGAAATGGCCTGGAAAGCCTGAAAACTTGCCGCTGGCCCGGTAAGTCTGGAAATATGTTTGGACCGGGCCGATAAGGCCCCGACCCATTTAGAAGCCATCTAAAAAAAAACTTCACTCCTCAAAGTTCTACCTTTTCTTGTTTGTATTAAGCTAAAAAAAAAAAATAGATGCTAAAATAATATTTAGAAAATTTAAAACCCATTCTCTCCCTGAAAACCTAAGATTTTTAGCTAGAAACTGAGTCTTTCTTTAATGGAAAGAGTTTACATAATGATGCTACCTTACAATGTAGAACTACCGATGCCCCTCAAAAATCCATCAGAAAAGGTAGTTTTAATGTTGAAAAACCCTTTGATTGATCTCACGACATCGAGATGTATGATTATGAAAAATAAACAGATTTTAAGTCTCAGATATAAGGCATTTTACAACATATTATCTACACCGTCTATTTTATGATTTTCATATATTTATAGATGTATTTGATTTTAACCATTTTTGAAATTTAAAATTGTATAATTAGATATAAAAATAGATTTTGATATAATCCTAAGAACATTTTACATCAAAATTATATACCATGATAAAATTTGAAAGTGCACCTTACCTCTACACCTATATATGCATCCCTATGTAAACTGCACCCTTCTCTAAAAGGTCATTTTCTCTCTAAAAATCTATTCTCTATAGCGGTATTTAAAAACCATTCTCTCACTTTAGAAACCCAATTTCTCTCTCTAAAAACTTGATCCCTCTTTCTCTCTTTAAAAACACTATCTTTCTTTTTTATAGATATCACAAAATATATCGAAATATTAATTTTTTTAAAAAATTATTTTAGCAGGTATTTTTTGGCTTATTACAAACAAAAAAAATTTGAAAAGGTAGACAAAAGAAAAAGAAGCAAAAAAAAAGAAAAACAAAAAAAGGGTTTCTTAATGGCCCGGCGTGGGCTCAAGCCCAGCCCAATGGTCTTTTCGGGCTGAACCTTACCACTACTTATTCAGGCTGCTGGCCGGATTTTTTTTTTGGGCACAATTTTTGGACCGGGCTGAAGTAGTTCAGGCTTTGCTGAGCATCGGGCCGGGCAACGCCCGGTGGCAACCCTAACGACATCCGAAGGACTTAATCTTAAATGGAGCACTGATTTTTGAAAATTAAGAAACCGAATGTTGGAGTGTTACCGTTGACTTTTGGTGGTTAATTACAGTTAATCGTCAATCAACAGTCGCATTCTACAATCAACTATTCACTGGACCATATACTCTATAAATAGGGCTTTTCTTTCCTAATACAAAAATATCCTCCACACTTTTTTTTATAGCTAGCGTTTCTTATCCCCTTTTTAAAATAAAGGCAACTCTGGTGTGTTAAATAGGTAAGGTTATTGGTTGCAATTGGCATACGGATGCATCCATAGCCGTCGTAGATGTAAGGTGCATCTTCAAATTTTATTATGGCATATAATTTTGATGTAAAATATTCTTAGGATTTTCTCAAAATCTATGTTTATATCTAATTATACAATTTTAAATTTTAAAAAGGGTTAAAATCAAGTAGATCTATAAACATATGAAAATCTTGAAAATAGACGGTGTAGATAATATGTTGTAAAATGCACTATTTTTTAGACTTAAAATCTTTTTATTTTTCATGGTCATGCAACTCGATGTCGAGATGATCAATCAAATGTTTTTTCAACATTAAAACTACCTTTTTCGATGGATTTTGAAGTGCATCTGTAGTTCTACATTATAATGTTGGATCCTTATATAAACCTTTTTCAAGGTTATTTTGTCCTTTTGTTGTTGCATATCTCGAGACTAATGTGTCCCATACACTTTATATACGCTGATTTAAATAAGGAAAAAGTTTATATAAGGTTGCAACCTTAAAATGTAAAACTACGAATGCATCTAAAAAATCCATCAAAAAATATTATTTTAATATTGAAAAACCCTCTAATTGATCATCTCGACATCGAGATGAATGACTATGAAAAAAAAAACAAGATTTTGAGTCCCAGAAATGATGCATCTTATAACACATTATCTAGGCTGTCTATTTTCAAGATTTTCATATATTTATAAATCTACTTGATTTTAATCATTGTTGGAGTTTAAAATTTTATAATTAGATATGAACATAAATTTTGAGATAATCTTAAGAATATTTTACCTCAAAATTATATGTTATGATAAAAATTGAAGGTGATAAATGGATTGTTTAAAGTTGCAACCTTATAAAACCACACCCTTTAAATAAATAGGGGACAAATATAGTCTCAAGACCATACTTTAGCATGACTGAAAACATGAAGACCTAACTATCTGTATTTTCATATCCTCGATAACTAGATTTTACAGCACCCATTTCACCCACAATTTTCAACAATCAATACTATATTCCGGTGAAACAATGGAAGGAACTCCAAGTTCCATCCAAGTGATGAATCACATTTTCACTAAACGAATTTCAAAAGATGGCAAGAAAAAGTAATGTTTTTGTAGACCATGCTTAAGGTCACATCCGTCATCGCCGAACACTGAATGAGGACAACCCTGAGCTATCCAAATTTCGACAAAAAGTAGTATTTGCAAGGGTTATATCTTCAGCGCACTCAGTGATCCAATGTATGATATGTACAATTTGGAGACCAAGTACCAAATAGAAGAATCGGATAATCAGATATTTCTTATTACAAATTGTTTGAAATTTAAGTTCACTAGCATTTTTATAGATGTTTATGTCATGGATATGTTAGATCTGTGGTGCTGCTATGCACTGCGGATCTAGAACATCTGTAGCAAGGGCAAACTTGGTATTAACATAAAATAGATGTAGAAATGGGTATGGGTGTAAAAAAAAATGATTTTAGGATAACGGTAATATCGAAAAATTGGAAGAATATTTTTTATCATTTCCCAAAAAAAATTATGCTTCTGGAATTTTTAAAAAGAGTTGGAGTTTGTACTTGAATTTTTAGTTGATTGATATTTTTTTTCCTTTTTTTATTTAATTCATTTTGAAGGTTTTATGGTGAAGATCCAACAAGTATTCAAAAGATTCAAGGCTTAGGATATTAAATCCTAGAAATCGAAATTTCATTTGATTTGGGGGTTGGGACTTGAGAGTTGAGAGTTCTTTCGGAGTTGAATCTAATTAGGACTTGAGTGTTCGCACACTCATTGTGCTTGAGTATTTATTATCTTTTATATTGTATATGTTATATGAACTTTTGTTCTTTGGAGTTTAAAAGTTATGTTTAAGTTGTGACTAAGAGGTTATTGTCAGGGCCTTGTGGTTGTGATGTATTTTTGGTATTTGGATGTTGTGTTAAATTATTAATTCCCATTATTATTGGGATGGAATGGATTATTTTATATTAAATGTAAGACAATGAACTCTGTTACTCTTTATTAGATTACCCGGCTATTAGGTAGCTCAAAGCTTGTATATTAGAGAAAAGTACTAAATTAAAATTTTTACTATCACATAAATAACAGATTATTATTATTTTTTTATTTTTATATTTTTACTATTTTTTTATTTTTTTAAAATTTATTGACCACATTGCATGTGATTCGCCTATCTCAAGATTGCATAGAACCGCATCCCACATCAAACCCCGATGCATCAAGTCCGCATCCTACATTTGATATCCTTGGGCTCAATCGAGATATGGATTCTCTAACTCTTTTTTTTGGTGGTAATTGACAGGGGTAGCAACGGGCTGAACACAGACCTGGACCTAGACTTGGCCTCAAGTCACTAGACCCGGACCCACCAATATCATGTGGAATCTGGACTCATTCAGACGACCCAAAAATCAAAATATCTATATATTTAAATATATTTCATAAATTTATTAAATATATACATGCATTATTTAAAGGGCAATGATTTCATGCAACCGTTGTGTTGTATAGTAATATGATGCAATTACCTTAAAAAACCATCTTATGGCCATTTGTTTGATTCATTTTTCATTCTAATAAACAATCACAAAAAAATATAAAATTAAAAATACAACCTAGAAAGTAGTTTTTTAACTCAATTAACATAGGCCGTTCATTTTGGTGATATGCTCAGATCTAGGCCTTAGAAGGATTTTTTTCATTTCCAATTTTTTTAGATGGCATTATTATCATTAGATGAACAATTTTTTATTTTAAAAAATAATAATTATGAGTTTATAAGGGCTAAGATCTTAAAATTCACAAACTGAATGGTCTAGATTCGGTTTTGGAGGGGACTCATTTTGACCTTATCTAGGGTTCAAATTGAACTTTTTTTTTTTTGGATTGATTATTGAGATGAAGAGACTGTGTGTGAAAAATTTAGGGTCATACAAATACCACAAACATAGTTTTCTAGAAGTGTCGTAGCATTATACTATAATAAAATCGTTGCATTGGATCATTGCTCCTATTTAAATATTATAACTAAATATATATAATTACATTTATTTAAATATAATTTAAATATCATATATTGAATATTATTTAAATATCAACACATTCGGGTCATAGACCCAGACCTGGACCCATATAGTGTTCAGCTCCAAGATTTGGACCCAGACCCGACCAGCCGGGTCCAATTTTTGGACGCATACCCAGACCTAAGCCGTATCGGATCCGAAGTCCCTTGCCACCCCTAATAATTGAGAATGGGCTCTCTATCTCTCTCTTGGGTCGCAATTGAGAATGGGCTCTCTATCTCTCTCTTGGGTCGCAATTGAGAATGGGTCTCTCTCTACAGAACAGAATGGAGGTGTTCTACTTTACCGATGGGGCATATGCTTTTGTAATTGGTATCGTGCCTAGAAATCATTCTTATACTGTTGCCAAATGATACCAGTTGATTTTGAACTTAAAACATGAGAGAGAAAGATGTAGTGGACTTTGGGAGAGGCAAAAAGAAAAAATGTCCTATTTTTCAGTCAGAAAAGGCTAATTCAGGTCTTCCAACTATAAAAAAAAAGGGCCAACTTCTTTTTCATCACCCAAGTAAACGATTGGAAATTGAAATTTTAAGATAAATTACACTCACAATGCTTGTGAATGCTACTGGTTCTTAACCAAGAACCAGCAAAACTTTTGGAAATGGCTACCATCCAAGCTCCAACATCTTTGGTGAGATGAATAGGAGCTCTACTAATGTTGTAGTGGTGGATGATGTCTACTAATGTTGCACTGGTCGATGATGATGGAGGTGAAGGTGGTGCATGTTTTGCTAGCAAGTGCATGTTTGTGCCTCAGATCGGATTGACATTGTAATCCTTTTTTTTACTGTAATGTAGTACAAAAGTTTTAACTGTTTAAAAATAAAGATGCTGCATTCATACTCTTGCATTGAACCAAACGTACCAGACACAACATTAGCTATGGTAGGAATCTGCAGTTGACCTATTTAAATGCAATAACAAATACAGGTAGTATTTCAAGCAGGACTTTAAATAACAAAGAATACAATTTTTTCACCAATTTATTATGTCTCACTAGTCTTTCCAATCTTCGACAGAGGTGGATCTAGCCATTATTGAAAAATGTGTGCCTTGTTTGAGGAAATGAACCTTGCTGCTGCCTAAATTTTTCCAGAGTCCATCTCACAAACCAGTTGTAGGAATAACTGGCCTCTTCTTCCAGATTATCAAGATTTCATTGCTTCAATGACCAAGCAAAAGCCTGTACCATGTGTGGGACAAGTAAACTCCATAAACATATTTGCCCTTGGTCCAATGCACTATATCTATCTGAGACTCCATAAACATATTTGCCCTTGGTCCAATGCACTATATCCATCTGAGAATAGTAACCTATAGATATCTCTCTCTCTCTCTCTCTCTCTCTCTCTCTCTCTCTCTCTCTCTCTCTCTCTCTCGTC